GCATTACTAAGCATGAAAGCATAACCAGATGTACTTCTTCTGTCCTCCATACAACCAGCATAATCACTATCTGTGTATCCCACTAGCTCTTGATTTTCTAATTTCTTGTAGAAGATGCCATAACTCACAGTTCCTTGCAAGTATCTTAGTAGTCTCTTAGTTGTCATCAAGTGTAGCTCAGTTGGCTTATCCATGTATCTACTGACCATGCTCACAGTATACATGATATCAGGCCTGGTGGTGGTCAAGTACATCATACTTCCAACTAGTTGCTTAAACAAAGAGCTATTCACAGTGACACCTTCATTTTCTTTGTGAAGTTTAACTCCTGGAGTCATTGGATTTAAAACTGGATTACTTGCTTCCATGCCAAACTTCTTTAAGATCTCCTTTGCATACTTCATCTGACTGATGAAAATCCCACTATCAAGCTGCATGATTTCTATTCCAAGGAAATATTTCAATCTTCCTAAATCAGACATCTCAAACTCCTTCATCATAGATTGCTTGAAGTCTTGCAACATGATCTCCTCATTTCCAGTATAGATTAAGTCATCAACATAAAGACTTACAATCAAATACTTACCTTGTTGATTGACTTTGGTGAATAGGGTCTGTTCAGTTGCCTCTTTATTGAAGCTCGTGGCCTTGAAATATGCTTCTATTCTGCTAAACCATGCCCTTGGTGCTTGTTTAAGTCCATATAGGGCTTTCTTGAGTTTGTACACCTTAGTCTTCTCATGTTGCAATTCATATCCCTTTGGCTGATCAACATAAACTTCCTCTGTGAGCTCTCCTTGTAGAAATGTCGACTTTACATCTAGCTGATATACAATCCAATTTCTTTGAGCTGCAAGAGCTAGAATCATTCGAACAGTATCCATTTGTGCCACTGATGCATACACCTCCTCATAATCTATGCCATGTTGTTGTGCATATCCCTTTGCTACTAAACGGGCCTTGTACTTATCAACCTCAGCATGTTGGTTCAATTTTGTCTTGTATACCCACTTGACCCCTATGCTAGTAGCTCCTCTTGGCAGATTAACTAATGACCATGTTCTATTTCTTTCAATGGATTTTATCTCCTCATCCATAGCTTTCTTCCAACTATCAATTTTCACAGCTTCCTCAAATGTCAAGGGGTCTGTGCTAGACATCAAAGCAAAACTGACTGGATTACCTCCACCATTGACACAGTGATTGAAAGCATAGTCATTCATCCACGCTGGAGCTTTTCTGCTGCGTTGAAATCTTCCCACGCTTTCTGTATTGTCGGCTTCCACATTTTCATCACTCTCTTGTTCTATTTCAGTTTCATGTACTCTTCCCACGCTTTCTATATTGTCAGCTTCCGCATTTTGATCACTCTCTTGTTCTGTTTTAGCAATTGGCATATCATCATTTTGTTGCTCAATTTCCTCATTTGTTGGCTGCTTGTCTTCCCATTCAAGTTGTAGCTTGACTAATTCAGCATGAGTTTGATTCCATTCCCATTGTTTGTCCTCTTCAAACACCACATCCCGGCTCACCATAATTTTCTTCCCAATAGGATCATACAAACAATATCCTTTAGTCTCAGTACTCACTCCTAATAAGACACATCTTGTGCTCTTATTATCAAGCTTAGTTCTTCTTGCATCTGGCACATGAACATGTGCAATGCACCCAAATACCCTGAAGTGTTCAACTGAGCGTTTAATTCCAGATCAGGCCTCTTCTGGTGTTATACCTTTTATCGCAGAAGTATGACACCTATTGAGAATGTAGAATGCCCAGTTTATTGCCTCTGGCCAGAAGCTCTTAGGTACCTCCTTTTGTACAAGCATGCTTCTAACCATGTTTATGATTGTTCTGTTTTTCCTCTCAGCCACTCCATTTTGTTGGGGTGTATATGCTGTCGTAAGTTACCTTTTGATGCCATTATCTCTGCAATAATCATTGAACTCGGTTGAAGTAAACTCCCTTCCACGATCTGTTCTCAAACATTTCACATATAGTCCAGATTCCTTCTCAACACTACTTTTAAATTGCTTGAAAACAGTAAATGCATCACTCTTGTAAGTAATAAAGTATACCCAAGCCTTCCTACTGTAATCATCAATAAAACATATGAAATACCTCTTTTGACCATGTGACATAGGAGAAATGGGACCGCAAATGTCAGCATGTATGAGTTCTAGACGCTCTACAGCTCTCCACAAGGATTTCTTTGGAATGTACTCTCTGTGTTGCTTGCCTTTCAGACACTCAGTATATACTGTTGTGATCTCTCCAAGACTAGGTAAGCCCCTTACCATGTTACTGCTCTATAATACTTGAAGGCCACTGTAGCTTAAGTGTCCAAATCTGCAGTGCCACAGATGTGCAGCTTCTTGAGCATCGGTCTGGAAGCATTGTTCCTTTGTTGCCTTATTGTTTGAGATTAGGATGTACATCCTATTAGCCGTCATGTTACTTTGAAGAGTGAGGCCTTTCGAGGGATGGTAGATGCGACACTCATTGTCTTTGATCACAAATGCCAAGCCCTTTTCTTGAAGTTGCCCAATGCTGAGTAAGTTGTTCCTCAGTTCAGGGACATAAAATACATCTCCAACAACATGGTTTGCTCCTTCAAAATTCAGTCTCACACTGCCCTTGCCAACCACCTTCATCTTCATGTGATTTCCCAAACTCACGTCTCGTTTGAAGCCTTCCTTCATGGTGTAGAAGAGAGAGGCATCTCCACACATGTGATTGCTACACCCACTGTCTAAGAACCACACATCCTGACTCTTTGCTTCAGCAACTTCAAAGTATGCCATAAGAAGCATCTCTTCATCTTCATTCATTTCAACATAGTTGACTTGTTTCTCCAATTTGGGACACTCATATTGAAAGTGTCCCAATTGATGACAACGGTAGCATTCAATGGTTGCTTTATTGTAATTTTGACGCCTCCGACCACGTCCTCTTCCTCCTCTAAAGGAATTTCTTCCTCGCCCTCGACTGCTACCACACTCATTGTAAGACACTGCTAATGCTTGCTCCTCGTCAGGTTCTTTCTTGAACTTTTGTTCATGGACTAAGAGAGAACTTTGTAGGGCATCTACTGAAAGTTCATCAATATCCTTAGCTTCCTCAATGGAACACACTATATAGTTCCACTTCTCTGTCAATGTCCGCAGAATTTTCTCGACAATTTTGACATCATCCATGTCTTCTCCGCAATTCCGCATGTCATTAGCAATGACCATCACCCTGCCAAAGTAATCATTGATTAATTCACCTGGTTTCATGGCCAAGACCTCGAACTCCCTTCGAAGTCGGTTGAGCTGAGCACGTTGAACTCGAGCATTCCCCTGATATTTCATCTTCATCAAATCCCATAACTGTTTGGATGTCTCTTTCTTTGTTATGGTTTTTAGAATTGATTTGTCCAGAGACTGAAACAAATAATTCTTTGCCTTTAGATCTTTGAGTTTCATCTCGTCAAGACTCTTCTTCTGGGCATCTGTCTGAACAACATCTTTGCTGGGCAGAGTATAGCCTGTCTCCACCACGCTCCAATATTCTCTTGATCGGAGGAGGTTTTCCATGACCATACTCCAGTGGTCAAAATCCCCATTGAATTTGGGAATTGACGGTGTTGAGAAACCACCACTTTTCTCCTCAGATCCCATGCTGTTTTTAGGGCTCTCTTGTGTTTCTCTCACAGACACTCGTTGGTGTTCTTCAATACTCAATCTCTCAAGCTCTGATGCTAGATGTTAACAATTGTAGTATTCTGGCAACTGAGTTGTTTTATTGATACGAAACATGGCTTATAAATAGCCTTACAAATGAAACTGTAAAAGAAACTGAATGCACTAGAAAGTGCCTAATAAAACTGATAGAAAGTGCCTAGAAAATCGAAACAAACAAATCCTATAAACTAGGACAACCTAAACTGAATCCCATGATCCTCCCACGACCATAACAGTTTGACTTATTCAAATATCATAGCATAAGCTGAATTTACTCTAACAATTATCAATACCTAATTCAATCATCCATTGGATAATGATGCATAAATTAAGACACATTCTAATGCTTACTTTATTATTTAAAATAAATGCATTGTTGCGAAACGATACCCAAAAAAATAGAGTATGATCGACTTTTTTGATAAACAAGAAAACCACAAAGTAAGAGAAAAAATATAAGAAAAGAGAAAGAACAATCAAAGTGGTTAAAAACTGAATTCTTGTTCAATTACACATTAGGGTATTAATGTTTATAATTAAATCTCAATCACACCATTTTCTTCATATGAATAGGAAAGCCAGGGATTGATGGAGAAATGGTGACTAGTATGCTATTTATAAAAAAACTAAACCCTAAATTTCAATTAACATACTAAACAATTGACTCAACAGAGTGATTCAATTCAACATTCTAACTTAAACAATAAGTTAATATATTTCTACATGTAAGAACAAATTTCGACAATGATATATACATCTTCGACTTCGACAAAATTTACTACAATACTAACTACTAGTTTATACCGCATAAACTCCATGCATCAAGTTGCATTTGACAAACCAATGGAAAGTTTTTTTAATCCGTTAGAATTTAGATAAGTTTGCCTCTGGCACTGAGGTGCGAGGTTTGCAACCTGCCACTATTGTAGGTAACTTGCAACACACATGGAGACATTGAGCAGTGTCTCCTCCATGTTCTCCCAAACCTTTGTATTGCCACTTGTCCAAATACTCCAGACATTGTGCAATAAGTAACAATATTATAACGAAAATGGAAATGTGGTCCTCTCCATTTCCCTTAGTGCTACTATGCTGGGTTATAATTTTTTATTTCATAATTTCATGATTACTCATTCTATCATTTGCACCACACACATACACACCAATTGCCATTTCAATATGCAAAGAAATAGATTGTAGAAACTATATATTTCTAACTAGCTAGTGTCCAAAATTGTAGAAAGGTGGCACATAAATTCCCTCCCTCAACAACCCTCACATTAATCGAGCTACAGCAACACCTTTCTTTAATCTCCTTTTTGCTCTTTCCATCTTTCTCCTTCTACCTCCTTTCCCATCAAAAGGTTCTTCCATTATGCTACACAAACCTGAAAATTATCACACCAAAAGGGTACGTGCGTTATTTACCTTGCATGAAGTGCAAAAAATATTCAAATTTCAAGTAACTAGCCACACTACACTACCTGGCATGAAATTCTTCTTATCATCATCACAGGGTTGCTCTCCATAGTTGCTCTCATTCTCACTCTTCTGTATTACCTTTGACTTTGACTTTGGACAAGGATTCCTAAATAGCCACGTGGCATCCATTTGTTTACAGAACATCCTAGCAACATGATAAGGAACCTTAACTCTTTTGTTCTCGTTTGACTTAATAAAGCCATTCATAAACATTATACAATCCATAACACTCTCTTTTGCCATTCCTTTCATGTCATAAGCTTGTGATCTTCTCCAAAGACTTTTTCCATGTGAATTTGCTGGATTACATAAACAAAGAGCACGTGTTGAATCACTTATAGCAGAATCTGGATCTTTAAGCAAAAGACTACACTGAGCTTTGTTACTATAAATCACCATTCTTTCATTTCTATACCTCAATGGACAAACTTCAAGTGCTTCACAATATTTCAATAAAGCTTCTTCAACCTTTCCCAAACTAACCATTTTATTCCCTTTTTTCTTTATCAACTTCGCCGCAACCATTTTTTCTTTCAATTCCACCTCCGACATTACTCTCTCCTTATTCCTCCTATCAACCTTCGAATTCAGAGAGATAAGATTCGTAGCGTTATTATTATGTTCAACAAGTTGCATTAGCACCTTGGTGATAGTTTCACCAACGTTTGATTTATCACCAAGTCTTCTAAGTTCAACCAGATCAACAAGACATGAAACAACATCAACATTTTCAATATCAACAACTTTGTACCTTGTATTTTGGTCCTTGAGAAGCAATAAAAGACAATATATACCTAGGTACTGCCAATCATCACAAGATCTTGAGAGGTTACATAAACTTTTCAAAACTTTTGGTGACTCAGCAATTTTTTTTCTTCCAAACTTATTATAACAAAGGATTCTAATGAGTCCAAATCCACCTGGTGAAGTGTTATTTACCAATCCACCCCACATATCACACAGATCATTCAGAAAAACCTTTCTGCATATTAAATTCAAAGACTTAGAATCTTTGGAAGCAAAGCAATTCAGAAGATGAATACACCAACATTGAAGTTGACTAGCCCACTCTTCAGCTTTTCGATTCTCCATTTCTAAATCACCTAAACCTCTTGTAAGCAAGTTTCTATGATACTCAACTCTTCTCTTAACAGATACAAATTCAACATAGATTTTTTCTAAGCAAGATGAAGCCAAATTCATTGATGATTTCACCAACTCAGATTCATACTCAGAGACTAATACAAAAGTGCTTTTGTAACTAGCTAAATGGCCAAGTGCTCTAACAGCAACTCTTTGTTCAACCCAACTAATTTCACCTTTCAGAAGATCTACCAATGGTGGTATAACACCAGATTGAATAGCTATCTGTGCAAACTCCTCTTTATGCATGGTGTAAGAACCAATAATATGAGCAGCATAATAAGGTATGTAAATGTTTTGATTTTGAAGAAGCCAGTTTTTGTTATTTGTACCTTTGATGATGAGTTTCGCCATGCAGTTGAATATGCCAAGAGAAGGAAACTCTGGATTGTTGGGTTGTGTCATGGCTATGTTCCATAGTCCACTGAGGACTAAGACATGTTCACGATCGTCTCTTTGAGGCATTTCTTTGAAGTACGTTGATATTTTTGATTTTCGGAGAGATGGATTTTGTTCTTTCATCATGCAGAAAAAACAACATGGGTTGTTACAAAGTTGAATATGTGGAGAATGTTCGGTTGAATCACCATGACTGGTGTTGTAAGGAGTTTTGGGAATATTGTCGTCGGATGCTGTTTCTTCCATCATTTGTGTTTTTTCCATGGTTGTGTGAATATGGTTGCAGATTTCTTAAACAACTAGTTAAGCTTTGGTTTGGTTTTTTTTGTTGGTTTTCTATATGCAGGTACTGAGGGATTTATAGTTGAACTTTTGAAGAGATTAATTTTCTTTGACTAAAACTTGTTTATATATGCATTTAATTAAATTGTACGAAAAAGATATTTTTAGAGTAATGCAATTTATTTACAATTTTATGCATGTGATTTATTATCCATAATTTTTTATTAATAAATGTTAAAAACTTTTTTATAGAAATAATGAATGAACTATTTAAAATATCACCGTCAGATTTAATTAAATGTATATGCAAAAAATAGTAATATCACATTCTGATTTAATTATATGTATGTGAAAAAAAATTATAATAATAATGATATTCAATAAATCTAAAAATATGACTTACACTTTTTTAATATTATTTTTAATAATGTTTTATTATAGTGTATTTTATGTTTGTAAATGTCATAAACCCATAAAAGCAGATCTTTATTCTAATAGAATAATAAAATAAAATAAAAATAGTGAAAATATTTCTATTTTAAAAAGATTTGCCAATTGATATATTTTTTTATTATGTTTATATTTTTCAATAAAGGTAAATTATTAAATAAAAAAGAAAAAAAGGGAAATAAAACCTAACACATCAAGTCATTAAAAAAAAGATAATTGAACTTGTTTAATATATTCCTAAAAAAAAATTCAAAAACACAAATATGATTCAAATCTCACCAAATGTTATCATTAAAAAAATTATATTGCCTAATATATCTACACAAATGCATTTCTCTCTCTTTGAAAACGTGAGATGAGATATCTTGAATATAAATTAATAATAATATATAAAGTATTCTTCCATTTAATTAAAAGATACAAAGAGATAATATTCAATATACAAATGGTCAACATTAAGTCATTTTCAAGTCAAAATTTTCTCCAATTCCACTTGTTAACATAATAGATAGCAAGCATGATTTCATATCAATGCAACTAAAAAAAGTACAACCTCCAATCTTAGCTAAAAAGCTCCTAAGAATGTTTCTAAATTATCCCTAAATATGTCATCACCACACTAGAAATCGATATTTCTAAGATTTTCTCTTGAAACTTTATCTCCGTTGCACTTAATTTAATTAAGACTAGAAAAACATCAATCAACTTATTTGATTCTAGGTGTGGGAGGAAATTGACATTTGATGTAAAACATTTAATTATTGTAAACTCGTGAATTGAAGAATGCATGTATACTTGAAAGTAGTAGATGTCATATAGGCTAATTGTTTAACATAAATAATACCACTATCAAAGTCAATTGTGCCATTTTGATTGAGTGTCAAGTTTTTAAAAAAATTATTATGATAAGAATCATGACCAGATTCTAAATTTTAAAGCTACAACTTCTACCAACACGTTTAAATAAACTTTGATAACTAGTTTTACCAATGTTCATATCAAAGAATCACTCCATCAAATGTCAAAAAAGTAAGGTGTATTTGCATCTAAGAAATAAGTGGTATGTTGTTTCCACATCATAATTGTAGACAGAGAACCTCAAAACCATATGCATTCCTCTTTAAAATAGGTTATCTTGTATTTCAATAACATTATGAATTAGCTTCCAAGTAACTAAGGATTTATTAAAACATGTGTAGGATGCCAAATGAATTTTGTCCAAGAAGTCTCAATGTGATTCATCCTGATATAGTTGTAAGCACCTTTAAAAGATAGATTATCATTTTCAGATCTTGTACAAATGAGTTTATCAACAATAATACTATCAAATTACAGGTTAATATTCAAAATGTCTTCAACAATTTAAAAAGTAAATGGATAATTCATGAAGAATGTTCCAATTGATATTTTTTAGATGATTAAATTGATTTTAACTGTTTGCATAAATTGAATATCTTATTAGATTTAAATCTTTAATTTTTTATACTTTTTATATTTTTTTAAATTTTTTTCGCAATTTCTTGTTAAATGTTTCATCATATTAATCATCTATGTGATAAATTTTAAGATGAAAAAGTTACATGTTGTGTGTGTGTGTGTGCCCGCGCGTGTTATATATATATATATATATATATATATATATATATATATATATATATATATATATATATATATATATATATATATATATATATATATATATATATATATATATATATATATATATATATATATATATATATATATATATATATATATATATATATATATATATATATATATATATATATATATATATATATATATATATATATATATATATATATATATATATATATATATATATATATATATATATATATATATATATATATATATATATATATATATATATATATAGATAGATAGATAGATAGATAGAGATAAAGGGAGAGAGAGAGAGAGAGAGAGAGAGGGGGGGGGGGGGGGGGTAAATATATCATTAAGAAATTAGGGAGAAAAATAAAGGAAATCAGGGGACAAAGACCAAAACATCTACATAGGCCTAACTCTAAAGAAAGAAAAATCTTGTGTTTTAAGAAACAGATATAATAATATCTTGAATATAATCAAACCAAATGAATTTTGGAGTAGTATGATTGATGTTAACTAGCTTGCCAGTGCAAGTATTCCTTTCTCGATAGATATGATTGACCATGAAATTCATTGTCTTTGTGTGATAAATGTAATTCTTCTACATATCTCTATGCTACCAAGGCATAATGTATTGATTAGCAAAGGCTTTAGCTATTAATATGGAATCCAAATCAAGCCAAAGAATGGTCCATCCTTTTTTTCTAGCTAACTTAATGGCCGACATCGCTCTAGTCATTTCAGCATGAACAAGGGACAAGGTTGTGAGCAAGGTTTCCAAGATGGTTGTCAACATCTCTAAATAAACCACCATGGAAGCCTAAGGATGGAGTTTCAGTTACAACACCATCAGAGTTAAACTTAACCCAGTTCAACATAGGAGGATACCATAAATTCTCCAAAGTTCTACTTTGATCCAGAGGGTTCATTTCCAAAAAAACACATTAAAGGATATGGATTTGATGTAGGCTTTCCAGGATATTTTGATATCCCTAAATCTAAGATGGTTTCTGGCATACCAGATGGCATTGATAGTATGGACAATGCTAGTTATATCACTTGCTTGCATAGGGGGGAACAAGATATGTTGATGTTGTCCCAACAATCAATGATGGAATTTGTTCTGAGCCGGCTAAAATCCCAATTGACCAAGGCTCAATCCATCTTAAATTCACTCAACTCGACCCAAAGTATAAAAACAGTTCACATGCTATGATAAAGTTACAATCTATAATCTCCACTTCCATTATACTCATATTTAATCTTGAACTAAATTAGGCGTTACAGTGCTAACCATGCAGGTCCACCCCGCGCCACCATAAAGGAGATCGAAATCACCGTTTAAGATCACCAGTTGTCTAACTACCCTCATTTTTTGTTTCTTTGTATAACTAGAGCATCATTTATAGTTCCCAAAAGGAACAATGGTGCAGAATATGGGAATCGACTTTTAATTCCTACATTTTCCACAAAAAATGAATTCACTTTGCAAACACTATCGAACAAGCTCAGAAGTTCCAGATCTTAAATCTTATGGTTTAGATCTAGATCTTCAATTTACCAGTTCATAACCTCCTTAGGCTACCAAATCAAGAGCGAGTCAACCTTCAGTTTCTACATTTTTTGCAAAATCGCGTTCATTTTCCATCTTCGTCGTATTCAACTTCCTCAAATTTTAGAGTAAAAAAGAATCCAAAAGCAAAGACAGAGATTGGTCGACCACAACTAACGCTCATAGTCGACTAAGAACTAGATTGTCTCTTTGAGACATTTCTTTAAAGCATATTGATATTTTTTTGAGAGATGGATTTTGTTCTTTCATTATGCAGAAAAAATAACATGGTTTGTTACAAAGTTGAATATGTGGAGAGTGTTTGGTTGAATCATCATGGCTGGTGTTGTAAGGAGTTTTGTGAATGTTGTTGTCAATTGGTGTTTTTTTACTTCATTTGTGAATACATGGTTGTGTGAATATGGTTGGAGATTTCTTAAACCATTCTGCTTTATTTTGGTGCTTTTTATTGTTTAAATATATGTAAAATATTTGTAGACTAACAATTTAATAAAATATTCATAATTATTTTAAGAATAAATTTTAAAAAAGTATAGAAATATTTAATGAATTAGCTTTAAAAAGTAACATCATAATTTGATTTATGTAAATGTATTAGTAAACAAAAATATTATAATATTAAAAATATAAATAAAATTTAAAAGTTAAAGAAGTGATTACTTACAAACTTTTTCGAAGAGAATTTAGGCGCCTCCTTCCAAGGGTGAGGGGAGGGGGCTTTGCACTCATACAAATACATAGTTCCTGAAGCATGAGGTCTTTATGAAGGGCGAGACTTTAAGTTGAGTCCCTCATGCGAGACTTTAAGTATAGTCTCGCATGTGAAACTTTAAGTTTAGTCTCTCAAGCGAGAATTTAAGTTGAGTTTTTCAGGAGAGACTTTAAGTTGAATCCATCAGGTGAGGTTTTAAGTAAAGTCCCTCACGCGAGACTTTAACTTGATTACCTTAGGAGAGAATTTAAGTTGAATCCCTCAGGCGAGACTACAAATAAAGTGCCTCAGCAGAGACTTTAAGTTGAGCCCCTCAGACAAGATTTTAAGTTTAGTTGTTCATGCGAGGCTTTGAGTCCCTCAGACAAGACTTTAGATTGATTCCCTCAAGCTGACTTTAAGTTGAGTTGTTCATGCGAGGCTTTGAGTCCCTCAGACAAGACTTTAGATTGATTCCCTCAAGTTCGCTTTAAGTTGAGTAAGTTCAGTCCCTCATGAGAGACTTTATATTGATGCCCTCAAGCTAGACTTTAACTTAAGTCTCTCAGACGAGACTTCTAGTTGAGGAATTCAGGGGAGACTTTAAGTTGAGTCCATCATGTGACACTTTGATTC